AAACTCGAGAATTGGCATCATTTCGCCACCCTGATGCTACGTGTTAGGCATCTCGCGTTTTGAGAAGTCTGCCAGTTTCTCCGACATAGTTACTTTGACCGCAACTGCACCAGGTCCGGTAGACAACTCCAAATGTTTCTTGTGTCCGTCAGTTTAGGCAGAGGCTCAATTTGGCCAAAGAAATTCGCCACTTGGGGAGCACACAGACCACCGCGCCGTGTTACGCTAACACCGGAGAACCAGACTGCCGAGCAATCACCACGTCTAATTCCACCACGCATGATGAAAGTTCAGCAAGTCAGTGCCCGCATACCGGTCATCAAGCAATCCACACACAAGAGAGCAATTATAGTTAATTTTCGTCATTTATCGCACGTGTGGAGAAATGACTGTGTCCTATAAATATTTCAAGTTTCTGTGCATGTGGTACCCGTTTTCTGCTACTGCTTTCTGATTATGTTTCTGAAGAAAAAATCCGCGACGAATGTCGAAAGGTCAGGCGAAAAAAGGGTTGTCGCAACGGTCTCATAATCTTCGACTCAAAAACGTCAAACATGTACAGGATCCTTCCGATAATTCAGTCGATAGGCGACAGTGTACAAGTTTCTTGAAAAGTTGGCTGGCTATCGCATGGCTGGCAGAGATAGTTCTGAACCAGTACTCCTGCACCGGTGCAACGGTAGTCGTAGCCTTGATGATGGCGATGATTTTTGTTGGTACGTCATCTTGTTCCAGTAACTCACGTTGCAGAGAGTCCAACGACTCTGCAAACTCAATAAAAACCGATGGCCGTCTCAGTATGACCATCAGTTTCGTGAATGTGCGTCTAGTTTTGAATTCGGCTCGGTTGGGTTCCGTTAGCACAGCTCGGAAGCGTTTATGAAGGACAACTACGAAGACCCTCGCAGCGGACTCGATTAAGCTTATGCCGCAATATTTTGGACACTTAGTCTCGTCTTTTGTTCTTAGACAATTACCAGGAGGCTCAAGCTCCAGTCACCACGACCAACTTCTTCCTCCCACACTTGCTCTATCAACCCATTAAGCCAAGGTGACACAAGACTTGTTAATTTCAATGTGAAAGAGCCTCATCTCCGGGTGCCCTGTTGTGCAGCCAACGTAGTGACCTCTCTCTCCAGAAGGTGGGTCGTATGAAACTGCACAGGTTGGAACGGAATAAAACTTCAGTGTAGAGCGGAGAGGAGGGTTTGATGGGTTGATAATCAGGCCTGGCGCGGTGCTCGAAGGCGCCATTCACTGTCACTCAGTGCTGAAGGCCTGCCATTTAATTAACGTATAATTTGATGTCAGTTTCGAGGCCACCACCGTTTGAGGCCTGCTTCATGTAGGCCACTGCTCCAGTTCAATATTCGTGCCGGTCATCTCCATGCGACTGAGCCGTAATTTTACGA